GGACGTTTTAAGCTTACCAACCAGTGTTTTTCAACTTGCTCTTTGTTAACGAGATCTTACCTACTCGTCTATGCAACTAATTAAGCTCACTAGCCTCATTAAATTCTATTTACAATTACCTATAGCATTTTCGTTAGTTTTTTTTTTTTTTTTTCATTTCGTAGTAAGTCAAATTCGTTGTGCGCAAAGTGTTATTGTATCTCGTTAGAAACACCATTGGTCTAACCTAAGGCGTTATTCCTGCACGTCGAACAATTTGCTATTGTACAGAAATTTTGGCGAAATAAATAAGATATTAACATAAAGGAATGATATATTGCGCGATGGACGTACGCAAACACCAACAATTTCTTCCATTTAGTACCTCATTTATTTCACTCAAACACAAACACACAAACCCACGCCCACACAAATACACGTATGTGTACGTGCTTATATGTATGTGTATAAAAGGGTGTATGCATAAATGTGTACAGGTGCTGCGTATCGCGAGATGGTGCACAATATCCTGTATCCGATAATGTCGGCGCCGAACGTGAGCCTCGTGCGCTATGACGTCCATCACGCATTGCCGCCAACCGCGAATGCCCTCATCGGTCGCGCAGCACACATCGCCGTCCTCGACTCCGAGCTCTTCATCGAGAAGTTCCTCCTAGTGACGGGCCTCAAGTACTTTAGATAAGGATACAATTAACTAACTCTCTCTCTCTCTCTCTCTCTCTCTCTCTCCGTCTTTCATTATCCTAGCAATTTGTTGATCTTCAAATCTTCCGACTCACCTGATCCCATCACCCACACCTCAACGTCTTTCCTTGGACGAACTTGCGAGTTCTCGCAGTCGGCGACGTAGACAGCCTTACATTAACTTCCGCGGAAACTGATTTTCTTCTTTTCGCGTGTATCCTTCGAAATAGCTTTACTTGCGTCTAGTTGGGGAAAATCGTCGCGGTTGCTGCATTCGACAGCGGTTAATCGTCGACTTGAGCACTTGGCAACTCGAGCGATCTCCTACACTTTTTTAATAGATGATATAACTAAATAATGGGAGGAGAGGGTACTTAAGAACTGCAGCGACACTTGTCTTTAATTCTTTTATCATTAGAGATATTTATAAGGGTATGGCGTTTACATGCCATTCTGTGACGTGTAATTAACATGCCTTTTCGCTTAAATTTGAACGATCACGGATGAATAATAGTGATAAGATGATTCTGTTATATCATTTTGTTTCGTAAATTTCTATGCGTAACTGTATTTGTGATAGACCCGCGTTGGATCGTGAAAGAATAATGACATGAATAAATGAACAACGTCCAACTTAAAGATTCACGCAAGACATCTACGTCATTACATATTTATATATAAAGACAGTGGACCTTCCGAGCTTTTCACTTTTTAAAGAGCTTTTAATGTATGTACGAATCTGAGATCAAAGCGAGATGTTTTCGTTAGTTTTTCTTCACTGATATGTACTTACACGTAACTCGGTTAATAAAGAATCCATTGGGTTATTATTTACGACACTGTTTTTATTTCAATTCTATTTTTTTTTTTTTGTTTTTTTTGTTTGTTTTGGGTTTATTTCTCCCTTCTTGTTTACTTTTATAGCGAACCTCTGAATTTATCATGCTTCTATACACGACGAATCGAACGAAGCAATAACCCAACAGAATTATTAAAGAATTATACGGGAGAGGTACCGACAATTTATAATTGAAAGAACAACGGTATATACAATTTTCACTCGAGAGTGTATCTTCGAATAAATAAAACTAAAGTTGAAAAAAAAAAAATCGAAAGTTTTTTGTGACAAGACTTAATAGTATATTTCTGTCAGAAAATTCTATGACTGAAGAACGAATTTTTTTTAGACATATTCTTACGTCGGGGTTTTATTATAGTATTAAAACAAAACAAAAAAGACAAAAAAAAATCCCGTTAACTTTTTAAATGCACAATCTTGATTTTTTAATCGACTGTTCTCTGCACGAATTTCATCGAAAATCATAAAAAAAAGGACATTCTTCATCTGTTCAAGTTTTTATATATAGCATACTTAAAAAAAAAACATATATAATTGCGCGAAATAACAACAACAATAATAATGATAATAAAACAAAAATTATATTTGTTAATATGTAGATAAGAAAATAGCTGGCAATTATCATTAAGAAGTTTGTTAATATTTTCTCATTCTTTACTTTCATGAAAAAGCTTAGATTTTAATTCTTTCGTTCATGTTTATAATGTAAAAAGAATTATCATATTTAAGAGACGCCATATATCTACTTTTCAATGTGTGTGTGTGTGTGTGTGTGTGTGTGTGTGTGTGTGTGTGTGTGTGTGTGTGTGTGTTATACATACTTAGGAAAATCGGTTTTATTAATAAGTACGAAATAAGATAATTCTTTACTCACATAAATAATAACTTATAATTCTCAAAGTCCATTGCATTTCATCAACAGATCATTTTCGAATTAATAAAACTCAATTGAGTCAAAGTGTATATTAATAATAATGAATAAAAATAATTAATAATTAATAATTATTAGAATGTAATTAATCAAATTAACGTTTCATTTTTAAATGAGAGGAAAAATCACTATATTTGTATATGAAATTATTGTCGAGAGCTACGATATTTTACGCCGCATTAGAGAATAATTCTTTGGAATACCCGCGAGAAGAAAAAATTATTCGCAAGCATTTAGAGTAGGGAGTTTTTAAAAATTGAACGAAATATCGCCAAGGAATTAGTTAAAACTCTAGTCTAATCGATCGATAAATCATGGTTTGTCATTCTCCTATCCTGAATTCTCTGCCTACACTCGTCATTTTACATAGTACATATTACGTTCCTATCGAGAAAATTAAAGAAACACGCTTCTCTCTATGTACGCTAAATAAATCATAATCGTGGCAATTAGTAATATAGAAACTGTAATATTTAGCGCTTTGATTCGTCATTGTGTGATATGAATCAAAGAGATAATAATAATTCAGGTCAATAAAGGGCCTAAAGCTCGTTTTATTATTCTCGCGAGAGAATACGTGCGTCCTTTTCTTTAACTTTTTTAAATATTCGTTTGTAACTTGCTCGTGTGAGCGGACAACTTCGTTAAATACTTGGAGGAGACATGGTCGTTCGCTTCACGAATCAATGTGCGTGAGAAGATATGCAATATTTGGCCTTATCGTTGTATAAAACAAAAATGTTGTTAGTAAGAATAATGGACAACTTTCTTTATTTTCGTACATTTATTTATGCTGCCGTGCGGACTTTATGTCTGCGGGAAGACAAATTTAGTCGCACGAACTTAACTAGTCTCTAGACTACGATAATAAGATATGTATAAGCGTAATTAATCCTCTAATAAGAAAGAAAAACGACCTCACATGCGAAGCAGATATACATGTGCGAGAATGCATGGCGCAATTGTATTTTCAAATCTTTTTTATAACATTTGATTTTTCTACTCCAGCTCGCTAGTGCAATATTATCATCTTTAGCGGAAGAATTATTTTACAATTTGATTGTTTTATTTTGACTATACCTTGTGAGAAATTATAGTCATTACAAAATTTTAAATTTCTTCAATATTCCATACTATAAGATCGACATTATTTGACAATTTTTCATTTCTAAATTGTATCTTTCAAATTAGTTATTATAATTCAATTATATTAAATTATATTTCAAAATAGTAAAAATCTCCCCCCCCCCTTTTTTTTTTATTCTTTTCATATTATTTTGTTGGTTCATGCCCTTAAAAAAACATTATTTACCATCATCGTTTCCATTTAAATAGGCAAAATAATTTCTATTTTAATTGCTCAAGTTGATTATAAATTTCTTAACAATTTTCGCCACATGTCCTTATAATTCTGTCTACCATACATTTACTTTCATAATTCTTGCTTTTTATTTCTCAATACCACCATTTCCTTTTGCTAACAAATTTGTAAGCATTTTCAGCCTCTATTATCATATAACTATTTGCTTTAATATTTTATTAATTTTCCTAGTTACATAGACCTTTGCCGATTCTTGCCTTTTTTTTTTCAATTAATATATATTTAGTATTATTTAATGTTATAAATATATTTTTGACGAGCCTTTATTTACGTTTTTATTAAAATATTTATATTGACAGACTTATTCATTTAAATTACCAATCTTTTTTAATTTATTTAAAAATATATTTATTAATTATTTACTTTCCTGTAAGTTATAACTATTTATCATAATGCTTAATCCTTGGTTATACAATTCCTATATTTTCTTATAATTTTTTCATTCTTCTTTCTATTATTATCTGCTCTATTACGTAATAGAATGTCTGTGTGCTATTGAATCGAATATGTAAAACACGAATCGAATATGCAAAGTGAAGAAAGTTGTGCACGTCTATATAGAGAACCATTATTCAAAGAAGAGTGTTAAAATTGCTAATGATACGCTGTATCACTAAAGCGATAAGAAAATGATAATTTGAAAGAGAAAAAAAGACATGTTAAAAAGCGAAGTAATCTCTTTTGAATCATGTGTTATACGATTTTGATGTGAAAATAATAGGAAAAAAATTGTCCAACGGCAACGTAAAGGACATTTGTTGTATACCTCGAAGAGATTATTCGTTCGTTTTGTGTAAATGTATAGAGATGTCATTGAATAAAAAATCAGAATGATGTCTTTTCTTTAGGAAAGTTTACGAAACGCATGTCAATTGTTTCCCTCGGATTATAATATGTATATATTAAGTGTAATATGTGAAAGGGATGATAGGTGCAATTTCCAATTAATAAATCGTGCAAAGAGATATTGAGCACATTAAAGATTTCTACGATATTTCTATTCGTTGATACCTAATATCGTAGGAAAATCATTAAATCTGTCATTACAGTAAAGAGAGTGTAGAAGTGAAAATTCTATTGTACCGCTGACCAATGATATTTGATCGAATCAAAGGTAAAATTGTAATGATATTTAATTATAAATATCTAAAATTGTTAGTGCGTAATATATAATGATAATCTATTGGTGCAATCTTAAATAATTATTGAAGCTGACTGAAATTAACAAAAGAGAAAAAAAAAAATATTATTACGCGTATTAAATGTGTTAAACTAATTTTATGAAATATGTTATGCAAATTATATGCTAGTGCATTCTTTAATAATAAAGGATATGTTAAAAGATTTTATAAATAAATTTCTTATATTTTAAAGAGATGGAAACAGCTTTTTATTACTTTTCATCACTTACCAAAGTCAAATACGAAAGATTTTATCGTACAAATGCAATAGCGCGTTATCACACACATTGCACACATATTTCATAAAATCATGTAATAATCAATTGAACGACTAAATTAATAATGATGACTTGGTTGCTAAAATTAACTAAAAAAACATTATCTCTGTAGCGGAAAATAGAATAGCAAATCAATAAGCATATAAATAGGCAAAACAAATTGACAACAAAACATTTTTTCTAATGATAAACAGCAAAGAAGAAAAAATATAGAAGATATTCAGGGCATCGGTTAAATGTAATAAATCCATCCAATTGATACACAGAAAAAGTATTATAATTGAAAACAGTGTCACTAACGCTACGTATTTACAAAAAAAAAAAAAAGAAGTAAAATAAACTTTTGAAAATTGATACTTTTGTCGTGTGCGTCTTAGTGAATGATCGATGCGTTATATACGAATGGTTTATAGTAATTTATCTAATTAGAAGAAAATCATTATCACGATAATTAAAAATGAAATTAAAATGATTGGATTTTTTAAAAAAAAAAGATAAGTCGACTTCCGTGTATATATCAATCGCTTAAGAAGCATATCGTAAGACATCACTTACAACATGCCGATTTAACTATCTTAATATACAAATAACTTACGTAATACTTAATAGGAGGAAAAATTGGCAAATTCATCATATTACTGAAACAATTAATTTATTTGCAATGATACCATACTTTATTAATCATTCGCTATTATCGATAATTTGTGCATTTGTGATAAAA